TTTTTTTTTTTTTTTTTTTTTTTTTTTTAAGCTTGGAGTTTCTTGGGGTTCATGAAATGAGGCTAAGATCCTCTCCCTTTGCTTTTACCCTTACTGCAGCACTCTCTTTCTGCCTTCGACGTTCCATCCTTAACACAAGGTCCATGACAAATTCATCTTTTCTGCATTGTGGAGCTGGCATTCAATTACTGAACCTCTCCTTGGACACACTTCAGAAATTCAGATTCAGTTACCTTTTACCGCTGCCGTTATTTTCGAGCATTCTTCTTCATTTTCGCATATTGTAATTGTTGCACCTCGGTCGTATAATCAATAAAATTAATAGTTAGTGAATTTATTAAGAAAATATTAATTATAAATATAACAAAAATAGGTGTGAAAAACTTACATATTTTGAGAAGATTCACCCTATAGAGAGTTTATCTTCCGATGCAGAATCTACTTACTGCTTTTCCATCCACCGCCTATCTCTCCTCTCTAAGTTCCTTCTTCTTCTGAGAGAAGATGTGCAGGTCTCAAATTCATGTTTGTTGCACACAGAAATAGATGCCTAATGATTTCCTTGCTGTTTCTCTTGATTTCAAACCTCACCCAAGTGAGATTCATTTCTGACGGTCAGTATTTTCCATATACTCTGATTTACAAAAAACAGAAAACCAGAAAAACCACTAATCATCTTTCGTCATTGCTATTTTTCATGCATTGCATTTGCAGGAAGAACAATTTCCAAGCTACTTGAAGTTCCAAAGGTATCAAACCCAGAACCTTAATTCATGTACAGTTTTCCTCTTCTTTAAATTACTTGAGAGTAAAATTCAGTGCACAGAAAGGAATTGGGGAGGAGAAGGCAATGGTGATGAGACTGATAGGGTCAAGGTCACCAAGGTGTGATAGAATGTGCAGTTCCTGTGGGTACTGTGAGGCAATTCAGGTCCCTATTGATATTGACAAAAAAGAGAGAAGCCACTTCACTGATGCCACTCTCTCAATTGCTGACTCCAGAGGTGAAGACATCTCTAACTACAAACCCATCAGTTGGAAATGCAAGTGTGGTGACGTTATTTTCAATCCTTGATTTAAAAAAAAAAAAGGGATGGGCTTGAATTGCCCCTTGCACTCTGGATATATGGCTTCAATTGAGTTACACTAATTCTCCTGCTGCATTGAAGAAATATCAAATAGTGTCTGCAAATGTAGTGAAGTATTTCTCTCTTTGGAGCAAGTTTTAATATCTATCCTTATCATGTACTACTTTTGTTCAACTTTTAGTAAGCCTTCTACTTGGGCTTCGTACAAATATTTTGGCTTTGTCATCAACAAGATGTTCAGTTTAGAGAAATGTGTCTTGGTTTTGTCATCTGTAATCAAACTAAATCAAACCCTTGTAATATTGTTGCATTCCTCGTCAGTTTATTTGGCAATGAGCCTTAAAAGTTCAAACTCGAATAAAGTACCTGATACTGAAAGTCAATTGAAAAAAAGGAAATGAGAGAATCCTGCGGTATCTGCGAAGCAACTGAATTCCTTTTCAAGCATTCTTGACATGCGGCTCCTGGTGTGCGTTCCACTGTAACAACATCCATACTATCGAAGTGCCTGGTTTAAGATAAAAGAAATAAGAGAAACCATTTCAGGATCACAGTGGAAACATCTACAAAGCTGTGCAATAGCACAAAATCCTATAAAAAGGATTATCTAAAACCACATCCCTAGTCGTATGATAAACAAGCTTTAAGGAGAGAAGGAAGAGCAGCAATGTTTCAGTTTCAACTAGCGTGTTGATATGATAGCTTATCACATGTCAGCAACGACCAAACAAGGCCTAAAACAATACTGAAAAGAGTTCCGGCTCACAAATAACAGTGAAAAATAAGGCCTCTTCGCTGTTGATATCTTGAGAGCTTGGGCCAGCCAAGGTTCAGTGTAGTTCTATGTTGGGCTTGATCCCACAAAAACTCTACAAGTTAGACATGATTGTTTCCATTTAAAGTCAACTATTAATCTCGGTTCACAACAATTACCACACTTGATGCAAAAAACAATATGTCAATAAAAGGAATTCAGACAACTTCAATCCAAATTCCAAAATGAAATAATGGCAAGCATTGTTGAGAGCAGGAACAAAATACCTGCAAAGATGCCAGCGGTTGTCAGATTTTGGATGGCCATTGTCTGATAGATAAGGTATTCAGTCAAAAAGTGAGCAAAAGCATAAATGAATGACAAAAATGTTGCCAAGTATAGTGGCTTATTTTCCAAGTTAAATGCACAAAGAAAGCATAGCATGCAAGTCAAAAGTGTCCAAAATCCAAATGTCCTCCCGTGAACATCAGTCACTGCATTAACAGTCATGAACACAAATATATGTTGATTAAAAAGTGAAAATGAATCAAGATAACCTAAGAAGTCAAACCATAATGGAGAGTCACATGAAAATGGTATTAACAGTGAGCTTTATATTATCCATATCAGTGAAATTTATGTTGTCCTTTCCACTTCTGTGTAATGGTTAAGCTCAAGGCTTCATTGCTTTAGAAGCAAACAGAGCTTCCTAGTTTCAGAAAGCTGAAAGCCACTACATCCCTGAGTCCAACCACTAAAAGGACTTCAATTCTAATCTCTTTTTATTGCTGGCAAAAAAGGTCCCTTTTATTTTGTTGGAAATGGGTATCTCAAAAAGCTTGAGACGTGAGAATTGTGAAAACACATTTCAATAAATCTATCTCGAGATGCATCTTTTAGGTCCAAATAAAAAGGCTAAATTTGCTCAAACATCATATCCCCAGACTCAAATTGTGCCATCTGCCAAACAATTCATACCCCTTTACACTAGTTATTCTACCAAGAACCCACCACACCTTATTTCTTTTCTGGGGCGCTCAAACTTGAATCAAGATCTACCCTTCTTAAAAAGTTCAAGTAGACGCGCAACGCACCTAAAAGAAATGTACTTGAATATGCTAGGAACATATCTACATTTTGCCCCACAAAATCATTTTCTGCCTCCGCATACCCAATTAATTACAATATCTTATATATCTTTCTTGTTCACAGGACTCACAAATCTATCATCTATTTGATAAATTCATCCCAGAATCAACCATTTATTTTACTTTTTCAGATATGAATCTGAAACCCTCAACAAAATGTCAACTCACAATCCCATCATTCCAACACCAAACACTATAAAAAGCTATGTGATAATTTTGTGTCCTATCCTTAATTTTAGCTAAATGGTATACTAATCAAAAGTTAGAAATAACAAACATGACAACACCGCTAAATCTTCAAAATCTCTCCACATTGATACGGACAAAACGAAACAGTTTAATCAATCAATGCACAGTTTAACTAACTGCCAACAGGGGAAATGAACCAAATCCTACTCGTGCCACCAAAATCTCAAAAACATATGGGATCTCACAGTAAGATATGCATAAGCACACTAACATCACCTTGTCTTCAGGACCATCTCAAAGCTAGCTCACTGCCCTTTGCAGTTAAGTGCTACTGATAAATAAAGCTTCTTTAGTCGTGAGAGTGAGTGTACTTCACGGAAAACGAAATTTGGAAAGGAGAAGCGTTTTTAGTTTCCAGGGAGAGAGAAAGAGAGGGAAGTTGCTAGTAGTCTTGGAGAAAACGGCGAGGCGGAGAGCCCAGATGTCAAAGAAGCCGAACCAGACGGAGGCTAATCGGCGGGAGCCAACCAGCATCAACCACCATCCTAACGGCTTCATAATCGCTATCCGTTTTCCCTGTATCTACGCTGCTGTGTTGATAGAAATTGTCAAGACTCGAAGAGTGAGTCAACTGATATACGTAACCAAAGCTACACCGTTTCAACGTTTTTGGCAGGCAGTTATTATATCAAAATAATTAATTTTTTTAATTAAAGATTTTTTTTTTTGTAATTGAGTAATTGATTATGATAAATAAATAATGATAAGATTAAAGTAAAAAAAATATTTATAATGATGGTTAATTTAAGATAATTCAAATAAAAAATTATTATTATTTAAGATAGAGTGATTATTATTTAATTAAAAAATTATATCAACCTATATAACAAAAAATTTCATAAAAAAATACAATTATATTGTATTTATTATCAAAATAATATAATTTTAAAATATTTTCTTATTTATTTTTTTTACAATACATGTCAACACCACTAATCTCTATGAGATTATTTAAAATGGCGGAAATTTGTTTTTTCTTTTTAAGGAAAGAAATTAAATTTATGGGCCTCTCTTTGGGGAGGACTCAGGTTTGCCCTTAAACTTCTATGCGTTTAGCAATCAAGTCTCTTGAGATTTTTCAAGTCAATTAAATTGGTCTAAACTAAAACAAAACTTAAATGTTTTTTTGATACTTATTATAGAATAAATTGAAGTAAAAACTTGCAGTCTTCGGTCTAGTGGCGTCAATCTATATATAAGTGCATTCTCTTTCTTGTAAGATAACAATTCGAATTCATTTTCTTGTAAATTTGTTAAAAAAAAAAAAAAAGTAAAAACTTGCATTTGCGGTATTAATTGCCATTGCAGTGCACCAACAATATTGACCTTTTTGTTAAAGGTTCAAACTACAATTATAGTTTTATCGTTATCATTCCTCTTATTTCTTAATTTCTCTCAATTTCAAATATATATATATAATGATTTACCAATAAAATAAAACAAGTTGACAAGTTTTAATTAACTTAATGAATAAGAAAAAAAGGTTACATCGAGCTTCTGCTTCAAAATGCTACTTCATGAAGATCGAATTATATGTGTAGAGAAATTTTCTATTTTTAATAATTTTAATCTATTAAAAAAATAATTATTATATCATTTTCGTTTTTGTGTTTCCAGTGATCAACTCCTATGAACAAGAAAGAGGCTCAGGTGGGTATGGATTCGCAAAACAACCGAAGACTTGTTTGTCTTTGTCCCCATCTTGATGGTTTAAGAAAATGAAAAGAAAAACATTAACATAGTACCATTTTGATTTAAATAATGCAGATCAGCAACCAAACCCAAGAAAAAGAAGTTGGTAAGATTTGTTATTTAATTATTACAATTTAATCAATCCAACTCATCTTAACAGGCTGTCCTAAGCAGTAATCAGCTGATAAACAGTTGGATTTCGTCCTATATGCAGATTGTCTTTTAGCTTGAGGCCATGAATGTTCTAGAGTCTAGAGACAGGCGAAAGTTTACGTAAAAAGGAAAATACATGCATTTAAATTTAACGAAGAAATATACGTTGATGGCGCCAAAAACCCCAAAAAAAAAAAAAAAAAAACGCTGATAACTGAGAAACCAATTGTACAGTATATACGTTTTCAATTTTCAGGCAAAAAAACATATACTGCACGTATATGCTTTTATGTTTGACGGTCTATTTAGGAGTGGTATAAAACTTTATCAAGTGGTTCGATAACTGCGTGCTTCATTGAGATTTTATTGAAGGAGGTGAGATATTTATTAAATTTAAATATTAAATTTTCAGTTGTTAACAACTAATAAAACTAATTTATTAATTATTATTTTTGTAAAAAAAAAAGTAATATAATTTTATATTCATTTCGGTTGGATTTTGTTATTTCACTATATATATTTATGATCATTAAAATGTTTTATTTATTACAATATTTGGTACTGCTTTTTTTTTTTTACTTTTAATTTAATTAGAACAAAAACACACTCTAACTAGATCTCTATGTACTACTAATAATGATTAAATTAAAATAGTACTATTATTTAATGTGTTTTTTTAATAAAGTGGGGAATTAAGACTTAGTTTGACAATATTTTGTATTGGTCTTGCATAAATTATTTTATTTAAAGATATAAAATTATTACTTTTAATTAATTTTTTTTCGAGTTTGTTGCTTTATTTCAGTTGCAAGAAAAAATAATCTTAATGAATCATCCACGTCGTACTGCATACACATCCTAAAGCTTTTTACTTTTTTTTTCCCCTTATTTTAATGAAATACTTAATCAGCTAATATCTAATTAGTTTTAGTTTGTAATTTATATTATTTTAAATGGTAAAATAAGAATTATTTAATAAGAGAATAAATTTAATATCAAAGAGTATATCTTTATTTAATAATTTATATTGTGTAATTTTATACAAATTAAATTATATGACATTTTATTTAATCTCCAATTAATGCTCTTTTTATTTTAAAATATAAATTATTTAATATTTTTATATGTATTTTTAAGTTATATTTTTATATAATAAATAATAATAATTAAAAATTTTAAATAAAGTAATATTATTTAATAAAATTATATATATTATTTAAAATTATAAATAAAAAAATTAAAGAATTTATATTTTAAAACAAAAAATAACAGAACAAAACGAATATTCCCTAAAATAACATATTAAAAATAAAAAATATATATATATCATGAAATTAACAACTGGAGCATTAACTTGCGTGCGGGCTGGTCCATACCTGCCACTGCCAGCGACAATCTTAATATTTAAGAAGGTTGTCATGTGACGGTGATTGCAGCTAGGCTGAGGCAAGGCGACAGGCAGCAAGCAGGTCCTTCCCACCCAGTCCCCACCGCTGTTTTACGGGCTTTCACTTTCCAAAGAAAAAGCTGCAGACAGTTTGTGTGAGGGACAATTCACTACTCTCAACTCCCTTCAAACACGCTAGACGTAACCGTGACTCATAATCCTCCCTTCCCCTTCAGAAAAAGGAACATAAATAAACCAACGAAGGTTGGATAAAATAGTAAGCGGTTTGTTTTAGTTTAAATAAGATTTCGAGTTCGAGTCCTTGTGTATATAGCAGTATTTTCAGGTGCGCGACGCGGGTCAAGTCCGAATTAATCTAAGCGAAACCTCGAATACCGGGCGAGAAACAAAAAAAAAAAACATAAATAAACAAAAAAAAATGTACAACTTAAACCCTTAATTATTAAAAATTATTCTTTTAATAACCGCTATTTTGCTGTTCCACATAGTTAATTTAAACAGTAAAACATGGAATATATACTGTCAATCAAGTTAAACTGTCCTCACAAGTCACAACTGTTTTCCAACTGAAAATTTTTACCGCTTTGGATCCTGCTTCTTTTTTATATTTTTGTAGGAAAATTGTAAGAGAGCAATTGACTTTTTAAGTAATCTATAATTTCTTTCGAACATGTCCTTTTTTTCTTTTTTGGTTTCCCATCCAGTATCTAAGACTTCACCCCGATTAATCCGGAGTCGACTCGCGTCGCGCACTTGAAAATGGTGGGTGAGTCTTCCAACGGAGGCTGCTGCATACACAAGAACTCGAACTCGAAATCTTGCTTAAGCTGGAACAAGCCGCTTACCATTTGATCTAACTCCTCGTTGGTTTTCGAACATGT